CGTCTAAGTAAGGGTTGGCTTCCAAGATTAGTGATAAATTTGGGTTCTGGTCTGGGATGGGACCTACAAGAAGTACCATGACTGTAGGATTACATTAGGCAAAAGGTTTTTCGGGAAACGCTCACGAATGACTACATAAGCATTCTGTGGGCTGCACACGGAGCTCCCGTGTCCAAGAACTCCGTATCCATACAACTCGGCACATTTATAGGGGAGTTTCTTTGAATGATTCCCGTCTGAAGGAAATCCGGTGAGTTTGAAATCCTTACGGTTCTTAGTCCAGTCTAAGTTTTGATATCAGCGCGAAGCTCCAATGTGAATTCTATTTCTTTGGCAGGTGTGGAGCATTAGCTACTGTTGGTCCCCTCGAAAACCCCGAGCTCGTCATGGGCTGCTCTTCCTGGTCTTTGACTTCTCTTTCTTGTCCTTCTTCCTTAGATTCCAAGCGGACAGGAACCAAAGCTGCTGTACAGCAAGCAGGGTAGTGTGAGAGGCTCCGTGACGATAAACATCACTCCCTCGTAATCCGTGCAAAATCGCTAGTGCCCCTGCATGCGCACGCTCAAAGGCTTTTGGGTGGGAACGCTTGTGCTGGTCGGTAGTGGTAAGCTCTTCCCCAAATGCCTCCGCATATCGGTTCCTAGAGACAGTGTCTCTGAATATACAAGGGAAATAGGACATTCATATTGGTAAATGATGAAGCCCGTACATTACTTCTCGGCTTCTTGCATGTTTTGGAACTCCAGCTGCCCCGGTCTGGTCATAAACGAGCATTACTCCGTTATAACAAATGAGCTATTGTCTATAAACTCCTAGTATCCTCCTTATCAGCCCCTGTAGTACTGCCCTATATGATCCCCTAGATAACCCCCTTTAGGGAGTTTAGACTGTAGCTCATATGAGGTGGAGAAGGGAGCCAAGGTAAGACAAAAGGTGCTCATTATCAGGGCCCGAATCACCTTCCCCCCACGTGCTTCATTTACTGCAGCAAAGGACACCCTAAACCCTAAATCCTGAACCCTAGTGTAAGAAAGGTGAAGCGTCCAAGCACCTAAAAACATCGAATCTGGGCTGATTGTGGGCTGCACTCTAAACTCTAAACTTTTTGCTGGCTTTCTTTCAAATTGTTCTGGGCCAAATTATCTACGATTTCGGAACTTCGGACCTCTGGGGAAACGTGGGAAATGGTTTTCGGGAATCCAGTGACAAAAGCAGTAAACCCCAAACACTAACATTTCAACCGGGAGCCCAAAACCGTGAACCCTACACTTTCAAGCCTGAACCCATAACCTCAATCCTAAGACCTTCGCCCGAAAAAATACTAAACTCAAAGCTTGTTGGCCCGGCGTCTTGTAGTTGAAGTTTAAGTCCACCTGAGCTATTTTTCCAGGACATGGCACTTGGGTTGCGTTCTGCGAGTTAGGGTTTAGGGAAGCCGCAGGGGTGTAAGGAAGAGGGTTGTATGCGGCTAGAACTCCACATAAAGGCTAAGTTGGGTTTTGGGCTTGGGCACTTCTTTTCCCGAAACATTTTGCCGGAAGAACCTGCTCGATGCCGTGCGTACTCAAGCAGCAAACAACAGTAGGCCGCAAGCTGCGATCTGTTCAGGGCCAAAGTTTCGGCCTATAGAACAACACACAGAACAAGAGGCGCTACGTATTAATAGTTGCACCTACCACTGGCTTTTCCGTCATGTGCGGGTTGCAATATAACTCATGAAGCCTACATTTTGAACAACAGGGTGCTTATGGTGCCTAAGGGAAATACCGTAATCATCTCCCCAAGAGTCAGAGCCCAGATTTTAGAGTTCGGGTTAAGGGATTAGGCGCCAAGGGTTTTCAGATTAGGTTTTAGGGTTTTGGTAATACCTTCCTACAATTTGTTCCCGAACGCACAAGCTCCTAAACCCTTAACCCTACACACCAACCTCTGAGAGGGTTCATAGTGGGCGGGGGTGGCCTGTTTCTTTCCTCTGTGCGCCCTTTGCGATAGTTGTTGTCTTCTCTCCTTCTTTGCACCTCTGCGCTGCAGTGCGTGCATGCTCCGTGTCTGCTCTGGCAGCATGGGTGGGCGCACCTCTGTCCATCCCCGTCGCTATGCCCAAAGTTGTTTGGGTATGGTTGCTGGTGCTGTGAGCGGGGATTCGGGCAGCATCCTACTAATGGATAACATGCAGTCATTATTCAGTGGTTCCCTCGCGTGGAGCGTCGCTGCGCGCTCGTGGCCGGGGGGTGTTGAATCATGCCTGGACGCGTCCTCCCTGGTGAGGCTAGCGCTTTCCTGCTAGCTTCCCAGGGTAGCGGTGGTTCGCAGGTGGTTGGGTGGTTGTTTTTTTCAATCCGTGTTTTAGGCGGGCATCAACAACCCCTAACCATTAGACCCTAAACCTCAAAACCCTGACCCGCAACCCCTAATCCCTCCCTACTCCCTAAACCCTAAGCGTAAACCCTGATCCCTAAACTCTAATCCCATAACCCTACGCCCCGGGCCCTAATCCCTAAACCACAAACCCTCATCCCTTAACCCCAAACCTATAATCGACAATCCCTAAACTTAGTCCCCCTTAAGTAGATAGAATATGGGGTATATGGGGATCTTAGTATAATATACCCATGCAAAGCCATATTCTATCTACTTAAGGGGGACTATAATCTTCCTCGGTCCAAGAGGCAGAGCTACGGAGAAGTCTCGCCAGGAGCCAGGTCTCACTGCCCTCGGCGTCCCGAAGCACTGGGGGCAGCTTGACCTTAAAAGGAAGGCTTAGGGTTTAGGGTTTAGGGTTTAGGGTTTAGGGGTCTAGGGTTTGGGGGTTTAGGGTTTTGGGTTTTGGGTTTTGGGGCTTAGGGTTTCGGGCTTAGGGTCTAGGGTTGGGGTTAGGGTAGGGCTTAGGGTTGACAGGAGGGTTTAGGGATTAAGGTTTGGGGCCTACGAGTCTCGGATAGGGGTTAGGGTGGCATTTAGGGTTGGTAGAGTCTAGGGTATGGTTTCCGGTAGGGCTTAGTGTCTAGGATAGAGGTTACAGGGTCTTGGGTTAATGGTAGGATTTAAGGTCCACTTTAACCCAAGGGAATAGGAAACTAGAAGAAAGCAGACTATAATTATGGGCTCGTGGCTCTCTAGCTAGGGTTTAGGGCGGAATGAAGGTACCAGCTGTTGAAATGGGAGCTCAATCAATGAAAGCTCTTTCAAGGCATGGGGGCACGGAAGATGTAGCAAAAGCGCCCAGGTAACCACCGACATGTTGTTGGTTGATACAAAGCTGCCAAACAAAACCCTTCACGACCCTTGTGACGTTCAAAGGGCGCGGGAGGGTGCTTGGATCCCCATTTCAGCGCCTAAAAATACTCCGCAGACCTCAACCTTAAGGCCGTTGGAAGTTCGAGTTCCTGGTGTGGGCCCGTACTTCCGGGTGCCAGGAATAGGGGTTTAGGGTTACTTCTGCGTGCCAGGAAACCATCCGCGGCCCATGGTTGGGACCTTTTATCCTCCCCACCCAGACGCCCGAAACGCTTCCCAAACTCAAGCAACAAAACTTCTGCTAGTTTCCACAATGTACCAGGACCCTGCCTGTACCCTCAAATAAGGGCATAGGGTCCCTAATAGTGAATATTTGGGGTATATGACGGGGGTAGATAGAAGGTCTAGGCAGTTATGGGCTCATCTTTTATCTGTTCCACCTGTTGGAGCCCTAAACCCTAAAAGCCTAAACTGGCTGACTGCCAAAGCAGCCTTGGGTGTGGCGCCAATATCGACAAAACCAACAGCTTCAGCCTCCTTTTACAAGGAAGGCTTCAAGGAGGAGAGATTCGGGTTTTAGGGCTTAAGGTTCGCTGCATTCCTGTTAAGGAACTTATGTTAAGTTACTCTCAATTGCGGAAATCACATTTATCTACTATAGATAAAGACTATGATAAATTAGCTTGAGTTCCTTAACAGCAACCAATTTAGGCTTTACGGCTTGGGGTTTTGGATTCACAGCTTGGGGATTAGGACTCAAGGCTGTGTCCTGGGACTGAGGGTTTGGAGTGTAGAGCGTAGGGTTTAGGATATGGAGTTTAGGGTTTAGGATTTAGGGTTTGGAGCTCAGGGTTTGGAGTGTAGGGTTTAGGGGGAGGCCTTGTGGATAAGGATTGATTGGCAGTTGCAAGGGTTCAGGTGTTAAGTACCAAAAAGCATGCAGATCATGGCGTTCAGGACCTAAGACCCCTGGACCCTTAGAGGAAGCAATTCTAAGCAGGTCTTCTGTGTCTCAGGATTTGGGTTTCTTGAAGTCGGAATTGTGGGAATGCATGACTTGTGGGCTTAGTGTCTAGTGCCCGAAGCCCTAACCCTTGGGGCTTGAGGATGGGAGGGTTATGGTTCAGAGCTTAGGGTTCAGACAGAGAAGAAAAGAAACTCCACTGGCTACAACCCAGTGGTGCTTCGTAAGGACAAGAGGAAGTACAGTAGTCATTACTTGTCAAGAGTTGCCGTATTTTATAGTTTGATGTGTAGGGCTTCCCGATCAAGATTAGGTTTGTCTGCTGGAGCAGTTGGGGATTTGCGAGTAATCACTTTATGCTGATATCAAGTGCCCCCACCCTCATGTTAAATACTCCCCCATAAGAAACCTTATATATTGCGGACCATATCTAATATCAGGAGGTGGGGGGGTATCTAATAATAGGAATTGGATTCGCCAGTGCTCAGTCATTGACTCAACGGATCGCAGTTTCAGGGTATCACAGCATTGTTTGAATTAGCCATAACCCCTTGCCCATGCCCGGTACCAACCCCACCTACTCAGGTATTGACTGGACTGATCGCAATTCAAACGTATCACGGCTTGTCTGAGTGAGCCATACCCCCCTGCCCATGCCAATTACCACCCCCACCCCCCAAACAAAAAGAGGTAAGTACCTCCCCCATCGTACTCGTGCTGCCGTAGGGGTTCCGTAGGGATATCTCAGGTTAGAGGGGTAGACAAGCACAGCCCTCTGTTTCGGCCATAAATTTGGCGCCTCGTCCGTCTCCGGAGTGGATGGGCGGCGGGATGCCAAAGAGACAGCAGTAACACCCCGCCTTGCGCCAGCTTTGCATTACTACCAAGATTTATGGCCCAAGTAAGGGCCCAAGCCTTTTGTCTGAGAAAATGAATTCTGCAGGAAATATTGATTACAGCTCATATGAAGAGCCAAGACGATCTCCTTTACTCTCTCCTGTAGAATTTTCCTCCCGGGCACAGTGCGAACCATGGGTCATGGAACATCCTTGGATACGGGGCATTAGCCTAAACTGTTTCAATGGCTTCAGATAGTCAAAGCAAAGAAACATCATGATTTTGTCAGGCAGGTTAGTCAAAATGCCCGCAGGAGTCGCTAATTTCACGTTTAAAGGGTTTGGGGTTTTAGGTGCTTCCCTTACCGAAATCACAACCTCCTCTTACAGCTACGCCATGTCCAACAACTGTGTAAGATCTGTCCAGGTGTTCATGCTTTCCTGCTATCCGCCACCCTGCCTGGTGACTGCAAGTGCTTAGACTCCCCTTAAGTACATAGAATATGGCTTTGGATATGTTATCATAAGATCCCCATATACCCAATATTCTATCTACGGAAAGGGACTATAGACTCTAGTATGTTGAAATGCTTTTCAACGAAAGCCTTGACAACTGAAAGCAGGGCCTTGGCAGCGCTTGAGTGTCATTCACGCTGAGACGTGAACTCAGGGTTTAGGGTCTAGGGTTTAGGGTTTACAGTGTATAAGTAGTGGCTCATAAGAGAAAAGCCCTACACCATGAAACCTTGAGCCTGGAAGTTGACCTTTGTTGATTTGCTTCTCTGAGTTCGCCAGCCACCCTTTATAGATAACGCTCAATCAGGGAGAATTCCCCACGTGAATTCCTAGATCATCTGCCTGAGCAGACACCTTGTAATCCCCTGAAAAATCAGGGCATTCTCCATGGGTGCACCTTGTCTTAAACTCTTATACGCCTGTAGGCCTTAAGGCTGGAAGGCTCTACTGCAAGGTGGAAAAACACATCTTTATGACCAGTCAGTTTCCTATAGTCTTACTTGAAGGGATCTATTGGGGTGTTAAAGGGCCCTGCGCACAAGCTAATTTTGACAGCAGATCATACGCAGATGTGATTACTGCTCGGGGAAATTGGGTTTACTGCCTACAAGCTATCCCTCAAATGCGCTTCTCGAATTGGTATGCAAGACATCGCCCTAAACCTCCATGTGGAAATCCTGAAACCAGAAAAATCCGATACCAAAGTCCCATGCCAGACCCCGTCAACTTGTAGAGGAATTTAGGGTAGTTACCCTTAAGTAGATACAATATTAGCGTTATATTGGGATAACGGAAGAGAAAATGTAAACTACTATCTAGGGTTTAGGGTTTAAGGAAATCAGGGTATCCTCTTTGTCATGATTCAGACTCGAATATACTCGCCCCTTTCCCGAGACCAGCACCTGTACTCCGCCTTGTTCTGGCCAGTGAAGGATCCGTTCTCCGCCTCAGAGTGGTAGAGCCATGGTGGCCGTCACACAATGACATGTTCTTCGCTCACATGAAAAAGGAGCTTCAACAACAAAGCCAGTTTTGATAACCCAAAATCCGTGCACCAAACTAACATGGAAGCCACATAGGCCCTTTCAAAGCAAGCAGAAGCCTGTGCGGGGCACTTTCGGGCTTTCCATGATAGTTCGGAAGAACGTGCCCCTAGATGTCCCCAGAGTTCCATCTTAGACCTAGTAACCCTTACTCTCTAAACCCTAAACCCTATAGTAGTTTCCATGTTCTCTTCCATTCTCCCTATATAGCCCCTATACCATAATCCTATATACCCCCTATACCTGTACCCGATATACCTCCTATTACCCCTGAAACTGTACACCGAGGCGCCAGTTCGGCACACAGGTCCTGGAGGACTGGCGGTGTGGTCGAGGAGAAGTCCTGGATTATAGGGTTATACAAGGTTATATAGGGTTATGTAAGGTTATATAGGATTATATACGGTTATATAAGGTGATCTAGAATTATGTAGGGTTATAAGGTTATTAAGGGTTATATAGAACTATGTAGGGTTATACAGTGTTCTATGGGGCTATATAGGGTGATATAGAGTTATATAGGGTTAGAGAATATCGGGAAAATGGGGATAATGGAAAAGGAAATGGAAACTACTATGTGGTTGGGTGCTGCGGAGTTGCTGAGTAAGGTACACGGCTTGTTTTTTTGGGGATTTAGGGTTTGGGGTTTAAGGTTCAGGTTTAGAAAGAGACAGCCTTCTCCAATTTCACTCCAAACCAAACCCAATTCCTTAATCCCCTCCCCTAATAATATCGAACCCCCCACCCCCCTAATATGAGATACTCCCATTACCTGGTATGTTATAATATATTAGGAATACTTAATTTTAGGTGGTTTTAGGGAGGTGGGGGAGATTTTTGATATTAGGGGAAGGGGATTACAAACGTGCTGCTCAAGGCCTCCTCGCCCTGCACTGCTTCCAACAGTCTTGCCCAGCTCCTAAGCTCTGCTGAGACATGGGGTTTGGAGGCTTCGGGTTTTGGAAGTGTCCCAAAATTTGCGGTACCCTTTTGGGACCCAATAATAAGGATTATAGTATTTTGGGGTCTAAAACTACCATTTAGAGTTTCCAGGAACATGAAGGTTTTAGGTGGTTTCCAACAACAATCTGAGTCTGACGTATCCTAGACTACAATGATATAGGGAATCTCGGACCATGGTGTTCGAAAGTATTTGGGCCCCTACATTACTCTCGTACAAGAAACGATCTATTTGTCAGTAGCCCAGCATCGGGCCCCTCCACTCCGCGCGCGGATTGCGCTGCGGGTCCACTAGGGGCGAGCGGTCGTGCAGCCTTGGAAAGGCGAGGTTTGATTGCAACTTACCCTATACAGGTCATAATATACACATATAAAACATAAATGCAAAGCATATTCAACAGTGACCCAAAGTAGACTTAAGGTGTAAGGTGCGCAGGTCAAGGCTCAGCTAAGAGGTGAGCCCTAAACCCTGAACCCCATAATCCCCCTAAGTAGGTAGGTTATGGGGTATATGGGGATCTTATTCTAATACAATCCAGGCAGGTTGTCCTTGAAGGCTTGCTCCAAGAACGGACGTAATTCTGTTCATGAATCGTTCTGGAATGGTCCAGCTGCTGGAAGACAGCTACCTCGTGGACGCCATGCTCACGAATGAGGTCCGGAGTGATGGCCTGAGACAGCGCCTTCCGGACGACTCTTTCCGAACAACCCAGCACTTTCTTGAAAGTGTGCTGGACAAAGGTATGGGCTTGATTCTGCGGCCAATAGCCTGGGAACAATGTCTGGCACACGCTGGCGCCCTCACCGTGCACTTCATCTTGGAAAGTGACATTGTGCCTGGCTCTTTGGCCAAGGCTTTTCAGCCAAATGGGCCGGTGGCGACGCAGAAACTCGGACAGAGCCTCCGCCACCTTCTTGTGAAGGATCTTCCCTGGGTCCTGACGCAAAACTGGTTTGTACGGGCTCAGTAAGTGAAGTTACTGCGGCAAATTGAGACTTGACATTGCAGTTACTGTCCTATGCACTGCAAAAAGCACGCCTCGCGGACGTCTGCCTCCACAGCTCGCCATTTGGTCTTAAATTCAACGCGGTCCATGACCCATTGCATGCCGTGAGCTGTCTTCTCTTTGCTCACGTCCCAATCAAGAACCAAGTTCTTAATATCGAACAATCGCCCTGAATGCCAGAGCAGAAGTAGTCTGGCTAGGTGCGCTTGCTTCATTCTCGCAAGCTCGTAGCGCAACTTTGCAGCTACGGCATCTGATCTTCTACCCAGCTTCGCCACTGCAACCGCCTTCTTCGCCATCCCCACCTCGAACATGTGGAGCCTTGCGAGAAGGTGGTCCAAGCTTTTCTTCTCTTTCGCGAGGAAAACCAATGCGCGCTCGTCATCAGCATCACCCTCCTCCTCTATCACCATGCCTTCTCGCAATTTGGGAGATCTCTTCAGCTCCGAAATGACCTGCCCGCAACATGATCAACAATACTTGAATACATTGCATTTACTGATTACAAAGCTACAGTTAACTGCATTTACTGAGTGCAATTTGTCCACGGTCATAGGGTATAAAAGCATTTCAGGATTTAAATGCCTTTATATGGCTTAAATGACTTCATATGCCTTTACATGACTTAAATGCCCTTTATATGGCTTAAGTGATTTTTTTATGCTTTACATGGCTTAACTGCCTTTATATGGCTTATAAACCTTACATGCCTTTGTATGGCTTAAATGACTTTATATGCCTTTATATGACTTAAATGCCCATTATATGGCTTAAATGATTTTATATGCCTTTATATGGCTTAAATGCCTTCTACTTAAGGAGGACTATAAACTCAAAACGAAGGGTGAAGAAGGGTGAAGACTTGAGGGTTGAGGGTATAGTGGGCTTCTCACAGAAAGCCGTAGTCATCCTAGGTATATCTGGGGACCAAAAGGTCCTTTGCAGGATGGGGATCGCTTCAAGACATTTCCATTTCAGGTTTGTCCCAAAGCTTCATGGAGGTCATATGGGGTTTTATAGCATGTGCCTAATGGTGATAGGCAGGTTCTTTGTAACCTGCACGGGTGGATTCAAAATGAAGTCAGGCTATGCAGTTCAGTGTTCCTTAGATTGTCTAGCTCTGCTTTTGCTCGCCTAGCCCAGAAAGATCAGGTTCCGCCACAACATGTGGCAACTATACGAGCTATAGTCTAAACTCCTAGTATCCCCCTGAGTACCCCCTATAGTACTCCCCTATAATCCCCTATGTGACCCCTTTAAGAAGTTTAGACTATAGCTCATATACTCAAACGGAATCCGACTCATCGTCAAAATCTGGTTCCGCTTCCGCATCAGGACTGTGCTTGCAGTCCTGGAAAGCCAGGCGAGGGACCGATGATTATGTTCCTTTGTGGCAGCTAAGCGGCAGCACCCCGCAGATGTAGTTCAGCAACCAAATCCTTTCTTGTGTTTGGGTGGTTTCGAAAATCACTGCGACTCTTGTGCTCAGAAGCACTGCAAACTACACCCGGAAAGAATCCCAAAACTTCGAGAATGATCCATCTAGTTGCGTGAGCTGTCTGGCTGGTGACTTTTTGGCCTTCCATCTCCGATAAGCTATAAGGCAACATCCAGCTGCAGCGCCTGTGAGGAGGGGTGGTTTTGGAAACCTCAGGAAAGACAACAGGGACTTTTCCTCTCTCTTGGCATCCCCCTTGCAGCTCTGTAAACACTACCGATGTAGAGGGGCAGGCCTATAATAAGAAATCTAGCAGGCATAACGACCCGCACCCGTCAGTGCACAAGCAGTGCTTTTAGAAGCATGGCGTCGACTCAACAGTGTGAGACAGCACACAGGCGCACGTCGACCGCCTTGATTTTTCCATGTCTCAAACCTTCGCCCTAAACCCCCAACCACTCTGAACATAGAATCGTACCGCAACTGCTACTCTCAGAGTGCTAAGCCCCAAGCTCACCAAGACTTGGACACTCAACTTCACCGGTATCTAGCGCAGGACTGAAGAAAGCGCTCCGTCATGTAGTATCTTCTATTCAAGTAACCTTTTGCAACTAGAGTGCGGAGAGAATATAGATTCAATAGTCATCCCCTGCATACTCCAAAAGTCTTTGTCTTCATTACTTACTTTGCAAAAGCCAGGGAGCACTTTGGCAGGGGGCGACAGCAGCTGTTGCAAGCCTTGGAAGTTCAGCGGAATGCGCAGCTCCAAGTCATCCTCAAATAGAATATACACTGGGCTTTCTGGTGTTCAGGTTCCATCCGTGCATCAAGTTCCGCCTTCGTGGGTTGGATCCCCCACGCGAAAAAAATACATATGTATATATATATATATATATAACCTTGCCCGCTGAATCAATATATACACATATTCTGCAACGCTTGGGGGGCATCCCTCACACCCACCATAATTCATTGCAGGGTTCCTATTGGAATGAATACCCTAAACACTAAGCCTAAGCTCTGGGCCCTTGAGTTTGGGAGTTTCAGGCATTGCTGCACTCAGAGCTCAAAATCTCACAGGTTACCTAAGCCCTCAACCCTAAACCCTAAACCTTACAACTCATCCAAATTGCAAGGGGTTGGTGACTCAGCGTAAGACCAACCTTGCACCTAGGCTCTCTTCTCATCGGGCTTGTGACCTTAAACCCTGCATCCTAAACCCT